CGTCTTCAAGGAATATGTCATGGTTGCCGTTGATTCTAGAGCTAGCATGGGTGGATATATATGTATGTGCAAGATTGATTTAGGGTTCTTGAATTTAATTTTAGACAAAAGGGTGGAGAAGGGGAGAAGAAGAAAATAAACGTTTGGCACCAAACTTGAACAAAATAATTTCTTATTTCAGAAATCATTTTTAAATATTAAAAAATGTGTCATGTGACATTTTTAATGGGTTAACGACCAAACTTAACAGTCCGTCACGACTTGATCCATTTTGAGTAATGAAATGAAACATTAAGCACCAAACTGGAACAAAATAAATGTTAGGTACTAAACTTGAAAAATAGGCATAGATTGGACACTTTTTGTATACTTAAGCCTAATCGAAATAACTTTTTTAGCAATAGTGATTTCAATAAAAAAAATAGATTAAATAACCGAAATGGAAGCATACTAAAAGTTCATTGATCAAGAGTGTAATTTACCCAAATATTAATTACCTTTTATTTCTAAAAACAAACCAGTAAAGAAAAACTTGTACCCAAATTAGATTTGTCTGAAGGAAACAAGAAAAAGGAAGACTATGATATTACCACCGACTAAAACCTTGCTTTTGAATCCGTTAATTCAGTTGAAAACCCCTGCCCCTCTTAAATTTAGCCCCAAGTTCGCATCAATCTCTGCTCGTCTGAACAACTCCGACCAACAACTGAATTTCAGTTTAAGCTTTTCTCGGGTATCAATTTTTTTTTCATTGATGTTTTTGGTGTAGAGAACGGAGGCTTTAGGTATATCGTTGGCTGCATTTTCCATTACACTTCCTTACCTTGGTAAATTTCTCAAGGTAATAAATTGTTTTTTTCAAATCTGTTGTTCAATTTGAAATCGAGTTTAGATCTAATGTTTGTAGTACATGATGCAGGGTGCAACTCCAATGGATCAAACGACTCTGCCTGAAGGTGCTGAGCAAATCTTTGTCATGTCACAAAATGTGTCGGCTGCTCAGAAGGAGGGTTTGGCCTGGGCGACATATGTTTTATTGCGAAATACCAGCACCACCTCCGTGGTAAAAATCCCCAAAAGTGAAAAAGAAGAGAGAACTTAATTTTGGAATTTATAGCTGCTTTTCTTTTGAGTTACTGACAATTTTGTTTGTTGTGTTTTATCATTTCAAATTTTTTAGTTAATATTAGCGCAAGGTGCATTATGTATACGTGGATATTGGAATTTGCCTGATGGTGTATCTAAAGATAATGTACTTGATTGGGTTAAAAGTAATATAGAAGAAACTGGTCTCTCTGAGTTGACAGATACCCTTTACTTCCCTCAAAGTGCAGGTATATATATATTTTTTAGCTTGTGCGTTAAAGGGTTATGATCTTGTTCAATGTGTGATATTTCAAATGATGAATAATTTAGCTTCTAAGAACATCTTAAGACTATGAAATAAATTGCTGATATCTATGCCTATGCCTGGTTTCTTGTTTCATTGGACCCATCAAGACTAGAAGCATCTTGATGACAGTAATCCTTGCTGATAAATTCTTTATGGTTATGCTATTTAATTGTGCAACATCCATGGGCTAACCTTGATCCTGTAACTCTCATTCATGATTTGGCTCTTTCTCCTAAATAATCTTTGGGTGTTTGCCTAATAAAATGAAAAAGGTAACTTACAGTGATCCTGGTAACTATAATGTTTTTGACAGCGAACATATGTTAAGTGAAGAAGGAAATAATGTAAGAGCTTTTAACTATACGTAGTATGCTTGGGTTTTGAAATTTGAATTAGTGAGCACATGAGTGCAATGTTTTCCTTTTCAGCTATGTTCTTTAAATTGCTCGGAGGTCTTCCACGGAAGCTGCTCTCAACCTGGCGTTGGGGGACAGCCTACTATCCTACCTCCCCCTTACCCCATTGCATATGGGAATAGGGTTTTGTTGTTGTTGTTGTTGTTGTTGTTGTCTTTAAATTGCTCACTCTTGTGTCTAATGCCTATATTTAATCATTATTTCAGATGCTGAATTCCAGAATATACTTCCTCAGGGGACCCGTTCTGTCTTGGTACAACCAATATTAGACCCAAATCTAAGCACCAATGACATGGAGAACATTGAAGGTTTTGTCCTGTTGGCTTCAAGCATGAGATATGCATATAGCGAAAAGGATAGAGCCTGGATAAGAGCAGTTTCAAACAAACTTAGAAGTAAGAACTGAAAATGTGGGTATACCTTGCCTTCATTCTGTTAATTTGCTTTATACTGTCTTTCTGAAGTCTGTTTTAATCTTCTCTCTGCATTTTTTTTTGCCATTTTCTGTTCTTGGGGGCCATTCTTTTTCATTTTGAAAACTGTGTCAGTATTTCTTTTTCACTTTTGACTTCATGATAAGTTTGATGCCTTCACGGAGACAACAACTATTGTTGCTTCTGGTCACCAATAGATTGCTGGCTCTTAAATGTAGAAGTCTATTCTCTGTTGAGTAGTTGTAGGATCAAAATTTTTCATAATACAAAGACTTTTTGTTTGTGCATTCTGATTGAATGGATCCTATTCTATACCAAATGCCAGTTGAATGAAGAACATTGCACTTCTATGACATTATTTTTCATAATACAAAGACTTTTTGTTTGTGCATTCTGATTGAATGGATCCTATTCTATACCAAATGCCAGGTGAATGAAGAACATTGCACTTCTATGACATTCTTTAAGCTGTATTCTTAAATTATGGAAGCCCTTGCATATTGAATCCAGATGCTGCAGAAATTTGGGTATAGCTTACCAAATTGTCTGAACATGTAGTGGCACCTTTCCTTTGACCCTTTGCATGTATTTAGAAAATATGAGGTCTATTCTGAATGATCTCTCTGAGATGAATAATCTAAACTTCATTTGCGAGAAACTGAAATGCCAGTTCTATCATTATTCTTTAAGGAGCAATTTGTATTAACATTGTAGTCCAACAGAAAATCTAGACTGTAAATAAATATTATCTTTTTCAGTTGAATCCTAAAATCCTTCGTTTTACTCACACAATTAATTATTTTATATCCTTTTTTTTCCTCATAATTGATGGTTCCATTGATTGAAGTTCACTTTCTATATGCAATCCCAAACTTAGGAATGAGCTAAGGTGTACGATGGTGAAATAATAGTCTATTCCTGAGCAGAGAGAAACAGACTATTCATGAATTTAAGATGTTTGGAAAAAAGTAAAGTTTAAGAGGGAATCAGCTCTATATCTCTTGGAGTTTTGTTCCATGATATCAGTAGTGTTCCAGGAAATGTGGCGGGGGAACAGACGATGCAAGACTGATAACGAGACAATATATTGAAGTATTTTACAGACAGTTCTATTCTAGAACATTCCTTTCTCCGAATTATGTTGTTTTCAGATGAAACAAAAATATGGTATTAAATTGGGTGTTTAGTTACTAAAATGACTTGGTCCAACTCAAGTTGAGATGTTATTCTTTTCCTTAATCCTCAAGTCAGAAACCTGAGCATATGAGAAAATTGGTGTGTCATCTATATATAGTACTTTGCTTAACTGCTTTTATGCCTCAATTTTGAAGTGAACATCCCAAATTCTTGAAGTTTTGATCCAATTACAATAATTTTGTGTAATGTAAATACATAACATTTTCTCCCTCCTCTTTTTACGTATTTTAGATGTAACTTTCAGAAGGAAATGCATTCCTTTCATAAATTATTTGTTTGCTGGATTAAAATGATTCTCTCTGGATTTGCCAAAAATCTAACTCATACAACAAGGAACTTGAAAAAAATGGAATTCTACAGAACTTTCTCCTGGTCATACACCACTCCTTTTGTAAAATGTCTGTATGTTGGATGGAAATGATTCTTCGCTGGATTTGCCATGCGTCTTGTTATACACCAAGGAACTCTACAGAAATTTCTCCAGGCCATACACTAGATGCTGCCATAATGGTAGAGACTACATAAGTTTACTTTCATGATGTGCTGAACAGAATGCTTGAAGGAAGATATAATATGTTTTCTACAATGCACTCTGTTACCTTTAGTCGGACAACACATCTGTGATATCATGTTTGATGGTGTAGACCTGTGTCCAGCAGAGAAGCTCTTTTGAATTGGAGAGGTAACAAATAAATTATCATAGCCACTGCTTTTTAATAAAATCAACAGGGGTGGCGGGGGGGGGGGGGCGCAATTCTAGAGAGCATACCTCTCCTGGCCCAGAGAAGTAAACTGTTGTGCTAGATGGAAGCCCGGGAAGGACCATGCTATGAACACGCACCCCGTCTTCACCTAGGACTTGACCCCTTGCCTTACAAAAGGGAAAAAGCAAAAGTGAGCTACCTTATCAGGTACCAAAAACTTAAGTGTAAGGTTTCTTTTTCTTCATTTGTTTAACTTTCACTCCGTTTTATGTCTTTCCCTACTCTCGACTTGCCACCAACTAGATAGAAGAAAGATGATAATAGAACTCCAATTCAATTTTTTTACATTCTAATTCTACCATCATTTACTGTATCTATGCTTTACCAAAACATCGGTTGAAAGGTCTTCTCTGTTGTAGATCTGACCGAGATTTGAGAGGTTGTTGGCGATCTGGACGGCATCTGGTGAAGGAAGATCCTGTGGTCAATGACAAGTTTAGCATCTCATCAGATCATCTACAAGGTACATGTATCTTGGAGTTATGTAGACTTAGTTGTCATTTGTCAAAGCATACATGCAAAATTACATTCACACATACTTTCATTGTACCACACATTCACATACTGACATGTGAACTGCATCTCAAACATTTTATAATATAAAAACCCAAATATAACTTGTAGCTTACTGTTGCATGTGCTCTTGATTCGACAATTTCTACATTATTGTAGTGGAAGGAAGCTGAAATGGCAGCTTGCTGGAGGAGAATGGATCCTATGGATAGAGTTGGTGCAACTAGGCAACCTTAAAATATTTCAATAGAATTTAGTAAGTTACTTGGTGGAGATACAACGATCATTCAATAACAGGTATAACTCTGCAAATTAAAGCAGTATAAAGGCATTTTGGGAATAAGTCCACACTGAAATATATCTCACCCTGCCCTCACCATGCTGGCTTTCTCGCAAAATGCAGATAATGCCGATATTGTGTCAGCCTTTATTCGAGGCACATAAACCACACTTTTCAGACCAAATGCTGTTGTCTATGGGAAGTGGAAAAGAAAAGCTGTTATTAGTTATTCAAGTTTAACATTTAGAATGGTCAACTTTCAGTTATTCAAGTATAATTTTCAGTGTAGAAACTAAACCTGTTTTACATTGTCGTAAAATGCTGAAGGTTGGGTAAAATCAATGACGACTCCAGTTTCTTTTGACTGATAGAATTCATTGATATCAAAATGGTATGGCATCAATGGTGAATGTTCTGTTAATGTCAACTTAGAAAGATATTGGAACTGAAATGTTACATGAGATATCGAACCTAAAACCATAGTGAGATCATTCATGATTGGAATCTCTAAAGGCTCTTTCATATCACACACCTAGTGTAGAAAACGAAACCCTTTCAAGTCTAATTTTATGGGCAAGTGATCATTGAGGGGGTTAGAAGTGCATGGAAAACAGGAATGAATATAAACTTTAAACCTTTCTTGTATCTTCTCCCACAAAATAGGAATCCACTGCACCAGCCACCTCCATTCCTCTAGCTTTGGTCACTGCAATTACTTCAGCCCTTCCTATTTCCTTTGCTGCTCCATTTATAACAACCTGTTTCCCGGAAATCGGGAATAAAATGCTTCTTTCTGTTCTTTGTTTATGTTTAGCTGCTGACCCTTATTAGCTGATAACGGCAAAACCTTCTTTTGGTTCCAGGGATAAGGTTTGTGTGGATTTTGATAGGCCTTGTTTGGCGGTATTGCATAATAGCGACATATGGTTGTCTCAGCAGTCTGGTAAGTAATGTTTTTTCTTTACTCTTTAGGAATCGTATGATGTGGTGACATAAAACTTCACTGGTTATTTGTAATTTTATCAAGAAATGAATATTTGATTAATCCAACCTCCAAACCCATGTCGTAAAAAATAATGACAGAAAATACATCTAGTGACCTTAGTAGTTAAAGAAAATGTTGTTCTCTCTAAAGGTTCTGAGTTTAAGCAGTCTACAGTTTTGGGTGCGTTGTCAATACATAATAAAAATTATGAACATATATTATATTGTAATCATTCTAGACTATTCAAAACCGAGAGAGTATCTCATTAAATTTTAGCATAATGTAAAAATTTAATTTAATGTGGGATAAAATAATCATTTTAAGTAAATTTTTTAATTTTTTTTAATTATTAACATTATTTTTTTTGTTAAAATAACCTTTTTCGGATTGAAATTCTTAAATTTCTGTGTTTAATTTATTATGTAATGAAAAAAAATCATTTTTTATTTAAAATGAAGAAATTATAAGTTACAATTGGGAGGACTCAAACTAGTCATCTCCGAATCACTAGGCCCAAATAAGACATTGCTACATTATTGAGAAAACTCGTGATGAAATTATATGTTAATACATTAATTATAATAAATTATAAAAATATATTTATAATATCAATTATAAGATAAATTAGAAAAGTATTATAAAAATATATTTATAACATCAATTATAGCCTAAATTAATTTTTTAATTATATTTATAATTATAAAAATATATTAATCATTAGATAAATTATAAAATATTTTAAAAACATATTCTTATAATTGTATTAATTATTATATTATACTTTTTTCCCCACAGCTACTCTCTTTCTTTCTTTTTTTTCTTTAAACTTTGTGTTGTTTTTTATATATTAGATGAATTTTTTCTTTGATTTTATTTAACAGGCGGTGGCATCATTTTTGATGTTGGTTGTCGATTGTCGGTTTTCTTTTTTCTTTGTTAGTTTTTAATAAGAATAATTTTGCATTTATTGCACATTTTCTATGCTTTTGTGGCAGGTTTTTCTATGCTTTGTGGCGCATATTTCATCTTTCTTTCCCAGTCGTTAGATCATTCTTTTTATTTTTATATTTTTTTCAGGGTTAGATTTAACGACATCATGACTGATCAAGATGATATTTATTTGAAATCTTGTTGATCTTCCATGACAGACTCTTAGATTGAATTTAGATACACAATTTTGCATTCGTGAATAGTTTCTCATGATGCTTGGTTATGTTTTGGTTCAATAGCTTAATTTCCTTTGGTGGTTCGTTTTATGATGGACTTAGATTTATTCGTGTATCTATTTTTCGTCTGAGTCTTTTGGTTGAGTTTTTAACTTTTTTTCTTATATGTCCTTGTATGATCTAAAGGGGCTAGTTTCAATGTTACAAAAAAATGTCCAAATCATGTATTTAGTTTACGATAATATCCAAATAATAGTTGAGATATCTTTTACAATTGAAAATCATTATTTTAATTAAATTATGTTATGATATGTTAATTAATATATTTATAATTTATATTATAATAAAAATTTAAATATATGTGTAATTAATTTTAATTTAACTTAAATATGATTTGTACCAACAATAAAATAAAATTTTAGTTTGATGTAGAGGTTAAACATTAAAACTTTCATCTTAGAGGCCTTAACGTAGTCACACTTGCAATTTAAAAATATATTTTTACTGACACATGCCATATGAAATTATATATATATATATTACCTCATCAATTAAATATATATAAAATATAAATTTAATAATTAAATATATATGAATATTAACAATGAGTTTAATCCTTAACTAACTGTTTATAAAAAAATATTTTGATTAAAATAAAATGTTTAGTATAAAATAACTTTTTAGAAAAAATAATAATAATTAAAGTAATTATTTTATCAAGCAATTAGAGTTCAAAAGTAAAATTTTGGGTTTGGAGGGAACTTGTAACCTTTTAAGGATAAATTTATAAAATTTTAGTGAACGAAAATGAATTATTAATAAAAAGAATAAAAAAATATATATAAATTGAAATTTTAAGGAGGCAATTATTCCATTATTATTTTCTGTGCATCACTAACTATAATCAATGACGATGTAAGATTTTACACTAAATTTTATGAGTGAAAATAGATTTTAATATAAGATAAAAAAATTGAAAATTTCCAAGAGGAGGCATTTACCCGTAATCCATCCCGATGATTGACGACGAATGGCGTGTCTTAGTTGGGCAGTAGAGGCCAAATGAGAATGTGGCTTTAATCGTAGAAGACAGGTAGCTAACAAAGCAAGAGCAAAGATTAACGAAGAAGACATGAAAAAGGAAATCAACGGAACACTTAATCCCTTTGTTAGAGAAACAAAATTGATCGACAGCTAAGTGTCGGAACCTTGTTTCTTCAATGAGTCTGAAAATCTATCTTCAAAGTTATAATTCTAGAAAACATCCCAATTTAATCTTCATTGTCCTTGAATTTGGATCCAAATGTTATCTTTTTAGCACTTTCCTTATGCTTATCGTCGCCTCTCATGTTATTAACTCACTTTTGTTTTGTTTTGGTCCATAGTTTAGCCTTTCAAGTGGTATTTTAGATTAGGACAAATAAAGGATAAGACTGAGATCAGGTAATTTAGTTAATTAAGCGGTTGAAACAAGAGCTTTTACTTTGCTATAGCTGTGAATTTACAACACTTTTATTTGACTTCTGCTTTGTTTTCCATACTTCTTGAGAATCTTTAATTTTATCGGTGATATTCAAGTTAGGTCCGAAAATATTAATTATGTGTAAATTAATCAACAGAATTTATATTTTATTCAGGGTAAACTACACAAACGGTTCATAATGTTTTAAAAGTAATGATTTGATCACTAACATTGTTATTTATTATAAACCGGTTACTCATTTGCTGTAAATTGTTGATATTGGGGGTAATAGAATATTGATGTGACGCTTTAAATCGACTGATGTAACATTGTTTAGTCGTTGTCTGGTTGTTTTAACTCCAATACTCTTTGATTTGTTCTAATCATCTTTTCTTTAGTTTCCGACAAAAGTTGCAACGAAAATTACGGTGCATGAGCTCCAATCTGGTCATCGATCAGCGCCCTTCTTTCTCTTCCTTCTCCTCCAACAATCCGACATTTTCTTTGGCGTTTGGTTCTATCTCATCAATGCACAGATCACTTTCTTATTCAGCACTTGGCTTTACTATACATTGAACTCGGTCCCTCTCTTTCGAGACAAATTTCCTCATGGGGGCCTAGGCTTGGCTTTAGTTCAAGTGGATGATTCAAATTGAAAACCCTTTGATTGTTTTGGCTTTGCTTACCGCTTATACGGTCTTTAGTTGGGCTACCATCTCTAATGTTGGTATCAACAATGCTGTTTACTATCTCATGCCTTTCAGTTACGTTTTCTATTGCTTTAAAATAGCCATACAAATCTCAAATAGGGGGGGCAAGTGATCTCTATGATAAATGAATTGTTGTTATTCTTTGAGGACATAGATCCAAGAACTATAGATTTCGAAGGGTTGAGTGTTCAATGTCAGTTTACTTCCACGTAAAAATCTCAAATCGGATATATAGCATCAAAGATTTAAATAACTGTTCATTATTTGAATAGCAATTATTACAATTGTGATAAAGGCAAAATAAAAAAATACTACCACAACCACGATTTAAATACATGATGGTAACTTTAACTTGAAATTCAAGAAGAAAACATTCTTTAAATATTTGGTAATTGGTAGGAAATAGATATGAGGCTAATCGAGACAGATGAAGAAATAGTGGTTTTAAACAAGTGACGCAATCGATAAGCGCAGCTGACAATTTAAGGGAGACAGACAGCAAAACCTTTACATTCCTCTTGCAGACAATACGAATGTTGTACATTGCAAACAGCGTTATCTATTAAACTCCAAATCTCCTCTTTTGTCTTCTTAATTATGTACCACCATAACCTTAGATTTAACCCTTTACAGGTTTATGTATATTCCCTAACTGGATAGAAATATTTAGTTGAACAACTTTACTAAACAAAAACACAGCCATTAGTCTCTTCACACGGTAAAATCCTTTTTCTGTCTGGCTGCTGCTTCAGTGTGCACCTAATGGCCGGTCGAATACGACATTTACGACCTTACAAAATAGTCCCGAAACCCACTATAAAACACCCTTTACTCCCCACTCTAAAACTCCCCCTCCCCTCAAAACCCTCTTTCTCTCTCTATCTGAGCATTTGAGTTATACAAAAAAGCATGTGTCAGCTTACATCCTCTCGTTGTCATAACTCCTGCAACTGTAATTCAAACGTTGTCTACCTTCGGGAAGGGTCAGACATTTACGAACCCTTGATCCTCAAAACCCCAACACTAGAACCTGTAGAAAGATGCAACTTTACGATCCCTCTCGTTGTGAAGGAAGCCATCTCCATTGGGAAGATAGCTCTTCCCATGATACTCACAGGCCTTATGTTATACTCCCGCTCATTGATTTCCATGCTCTTTCTCGGCCGCCTCGGCGAGCTCGCCCTGGCAGGTGGTTCACTCGCCATCGGCTTCGCTAACATCACCGGTTACTCTGTTCTTTCAGGCCTTGCCATGGGAATGGAATCCATTTGTGGACAAGCCTTTGGCGCTCGGAAGTTCACCCTTCTCGGAACCATGTTGCAGAGAACGGTGCTTCTGCTACTAGTTTCTTCGTTGCCCATTTCCCTTCTGTGGATAAACATGAGAAGAATACTCATACTTTGTGGCCAGGACGAAGCTATAGCCAAAGAAGCACAATTGTTTCTCATTCACTCCCTTCCCGATCTCTTCGCTCAGTCTCTTTTGCACCCATTAAGAATTTATCTCAGAACACAATCCATAACTTTGCCTTTAACATGTTGCGTCATTTTATCCATTCTTCTTCACGTACCGATCAATTACCTGCTTGTATCACACCTTAGGTTTGGGATCAAGGGTGTTGCTCTCAGCGGGGTATGGACCAACTTCAACCTCGTAGCCTCATTGATAATCTATATTCTCTACTTTGGAGTTCATAAAAAGACATGGGGAGGGTTTTCAATGGAGTGTTTTAAGGAATGGAAATCTCTGTTAGATTTGGCCATTCCGAGCTGCATTTCGGTCTGCCTCGAATGGTGGTGGTACGAGATCATGATTCTTCTTTGCGGATTGCTGTTGAACCCCAGAGCTACGGTGGCTTCCATGGGTATTCTTATTCAAACGACAGCGTTGATCTACATATTCCCGTCTTCTTTAAGCTTCAGTGTATCGACTAGAGTGGGGAACGAACTGGGTGCAAACCAGCCCAAGAAGGCGAAGCTGGCGGCCTTCGTAGGCCTTTATTGCGGCATCATGATGGGGTTTGCGGCACTTTTTTTCGCTGTGATGGTTGGGAACGTATGGGCTACCATGTTTACGGATGATAAAGATATCATAGCGTTAACGTCTGTTGTTTTGCCTATAATCGGATTATGTGAGCTTGGGAACTGCCCACAAACTACAGGGTGCGGTGTGCTGAGGGGTACGGCCAGGCCGAAGCAGGGGGCAAACATCAACCTCGGCTGCTTTTACCTAGTTGGTATGCCGGTGGCTGTGTGGTTGGGTTTTTTCGCAGGATTTGATTTCAAGGGGTTGTGGCTGGGAATGCTGGCGGCCCAAGGGTCGTGTATGGTGACCATGATGGTGGTTTTGATTACAACAGATTGGGATTTTGAGGCTCAAAGAGCCAAGGAGTTGACCGGACTACTTGTTGATGACAGCAAACAGGCTGAGCATGAGATCAAGCCACGTAAAGCACAAAACAAGGAGGATTCCTTTTCTTTATTAGGCGATTTAGATCATTATTGCCTCGTTTAATTAATCTTTTCTTCTTCTTCTTTTCTCTAGTTTTATCTAACCAGTTACTTGTATAGCTTAAGGCGGAGGGAGGGAGGAAGAGGGAAGTGAATCATTTTTTTTTCATTAAGAAAAGGTTTTAGACTTGCATTTAAATTCAAAATCCTCAATAAAAATAAAAATTTTATTATAAAATAATATATATTTATAATTTTCTTAAACTAAGATAATATATACCCTATTTTTTTAGGTATAATATTTTGAACTTAATTTTTTAAAAAAAATAATAATATTCACTCGTGAAATTGTTGAATGAATTTAATACCAAAAAGTTAAGGGGATGTAGCAAAAGTATCACTTAAAATCTATTGTGGCTCATTGTACCCTGCACACCAAACTAGTACCCAATTTAAATCAAAGTGTAATTTAGTTTTATTTGATTCTATGACTATGGACCCATTGTATGTTTTACAATATTTCATTAATTTTAAACAAAGTATAGACATTGACAATTGATGTATCACACTACCCATCAACATATTATGTATATAAATTGCCTAACCTAGGGAAGGAAAACAGCAAAACATTAATGAGATTTGTTGTTATGCATATATATTAATTCTCATTGTATTGTAGAAAGTCAAAGAAGTGCCCTTCTTGGACGGCTGACATGCATGAATCATGGGAGAAGCAGGACATATCAGTTAAATTAAATTATGGATTTAGCATCTAAATCATGTTGAATTTGATGTTTAGTCTTTCTCACATTTTAAATTTCATATATATATCATTAAATCATAATTTAACTATTGATATTTAAATAAACAAATACGGATACAGAGAACTCGACTAATAATAGATTTAAAAATGCATTTTAGATTAGACGTATATATATTCAAAGATGAAGTTATGTTTCGTCTTATGACAATTGTATAAAAATATATGAGGTAAATTTTAAATTAGATTTCTTAATTTTAGTTTATTTTGAATTTTTTTCTCTATTTTATATGATTAATTATATTTTGTCCCTTGTTTTTTTATATTTAATTACACTTTACTCTCTTTGAATTAAAATCTTAATTTTATCCTTACATATATTAATTATACAAAATTTTAGTTTTAAGATTAACACGTACCTATTGTAAATGCAGCAAGCATCCTCCATTGGACTCAACTTACATAATGGAATTGAGAGTGATGGTGAAGACTCTAAAGGCCGAAAGGAAAGTAACATCCCATTTATCTTAAATAATTTGAAAGTTTTTATGCCATTATTCCTTACGTCACGACAAGGGTTGACTACCGTTGATTTGTTTTTCCCTCATAAAACGAAGTCAACCACAAGGAGAACAAAACAAAGTTTGGATTCCATTTTCATCCACTTTGAGAATCGATTCTACTTTTCGTTTCTCTACCAACTTCCATCGTCAAAACCTCTACAAATTTATTCCCCTTACTAGTCATAAATATTCAGATTCAGGCTACTCAATTAACATTCATTTTTATTTAGAATTCATCGAATGATCTCAGGAGAAAGTTAATCTCTTCAAAGTTCATAGATTCGAGCAACAACATTTACAAGATATATGTACCTTGTTAATAGATTAACTTTTTTTAAACAAACATTACCTCATATTATCAGAGAAATTTAATTTTACTTATAAATCATGTTATAAATATACTAGAATTGAATTCAATTGAAAAGTTATATTATCTTTTAAATTTAAAATCCAACTCTAAAATCATTTACATCTAGAACTAGAATAACCTCACCACCAAGACATATTCCCATTGACCAGGTGGAATTATAACATGTTTTAGTCAAAGCTGTATCTCATGACGTAGATCAAAAACATCAAATCGAATTTTGAGTTAAAAATGTTAATAATTATATAATCCCATGAGATATAGTCGGCATTGTGGAAAGTAGACCTATATATTTTTTTTTCTGTAGATAATTCGGCCATTATTATATCATAAGTTCATAACTTTAACTGCTTCACTTGTCATCAAAAGTTAAATAATTACTTCTCTCAAAACAATAACTTAAATAATGAGGAACAAAGAAGACTTTTTTTTTATTTGTTAATAACTCTCAAACCACTTAATTAATTACAAATATTGTTACGCAATTGACTTTTTCCCTCCAATTTTACTATTATAATATATGATTCACGGGTAATACATATCTCAAGAAAGTTATTTTTTTCCGAGATGATTATTATTATTTAATTTCAAAACGAATCAATCTATGTTACCAAAAAAAAAAAACAAATCAATCTAAAAATACTATAATTATCAGCACCAACGACAAGGAGTACAAATTTAGAAGTTATATATACATATTTTTTTGTAATACCCCAAACATCGAGTCAGTGACTAATGTCTAAGGAATTAAAAGTTAGTGGTTTAATTTTGATAAATTGAAAAATTTAATTATTGGTTTGAATTTTTTTTGTTTAGGACCTATTATCAAAAATTGAAGGTTGGAAGGGCAAAGTAGTCTTTTGTCATGAAATGAATTAAAAATTCATTTTAAAAATCATTTTAAGCATGTGAGAAATGAGGAAAAAGGAAAGGAGAATTCTGGATACTCTCCATCTTCTCTTCTCCCTACCATATACACTATGGTTAAGGTAAGTAAATTGAAGTTGGTTAATTCTTTCATTTTTGGGTTAATTTTGAAGCCTTGAGTGGTATAGAAGCTTAACGATGAATAGAACTAAGAGTTTGTTGAATTAAGGATGAATTAGTAAAATGAGTTTTTAAGGAAAATGTTGAAAATGATTAATATTTGGATTCTAAAGGAATATTTGACTTGTCAAGGGTTTGAATAAGATGTTAGAAGTGGTAGAAAGGATTGAGAACATGTTTGAAGAATTGATATGATTTTTAGTTTCAAGAGTTCTATGGAAGATTTTAGATGTTAAAGGGGTTTTAATGGATATAAGTTAGTGGGAATAAGTGTAAATGAGTTTGAAGGCGATAATAGAGTTAAGGGTAAGAGATTTAAGTGAAATTTGGGTAAAATTCGAAATAAAATAAGTGAAATTTGGGTAAAATTCGAAATAAAATAAGTGAAATCTAGGTAAGGGTGTAGGTATTGGAAGAACAATATCGATACTATAAGATTAAATTGAAAGATAGTATATGAATTAGACGAAAAATATCGATACTGATTGAAGTAGTATCGATTCTGATGTCGAGGTATCGATACCAAGAGTAAGGTATCGATACTATAATTGAAATTTGATTTCCAGAATGCCAAAATGGTATCGGTGCCATAGAAGAGAAGTATCGGTACTGTGGGTATAGAACCGATACTATTCAGTCGAAAATTTTAAATTCGTTTTTCATTTCGTTTAAGTAAAGGTTAATTGGGTAGATGTTAATTGAGCTCTGATATTCATATTGATCATGTTAATGTGTAGATTCGATCGAAAACAAGTGCTGAACGAAGTGACGTATAAACATAGATTGAAAGAGAGAAGGAGAGTTGTTTAAGGCTTAAGTGAGGCAAAAGTGAGTGCATTTTATTTATGCATTTAAAATATGGAATGAGGAAGATTTGCGATGATTCAACCACGGATGATTTGAAAAGAAATTGTTTTCAAATTGTTCTATATTATATATATTTTACATTGTTTTGCTAAATCAATCTTTGAATAATTTTGGGTATGAATTACCCAATCTATTTTATATGATAAGTTCGTTTTAGTACATGTGAAATATTTTAATTATATTGATTATATGTATGATTTCTATAGAGAACAATAAATGATGTTGAATTAAGCCAATGTATGATTATATGTTATATGTGAATATATGTTATGTGAAATGAAATATTATGATGATAAGTTCTATGTGAATAAATGATAAATTTTGGATAATGCTATGTGAAAATGTTCTATGTGAATATGTGCTAAGTGACCTTAGTCTATGTGAATAAAATATACTTGAATAATAAATGTAAAATAATTATATGGAATAAGCCCAAAGTATATTTTATGAGAAGGGTATAGTTGGCATATTAAGAGTCGAGGGTTCTACGTAGTATTCCGTGATAATTCTATGTGGTCATTTGGGACAAATTCTATGCGGTCATTCGGGATAAACCTATATGACACTTCGGTGCATATTCTATATAGCACTTCGGTGATTACCTAGAAGCTTTTACTATTTACATTGGGATGTCGTGGGTCAATATGTTATTGAGTTATATTTACAACTCCTTCGGGGTACTCTGGACATGGCTACAGTAAATAAAACTATCTTGGTCTTGATTCCAAAAGTTGAGGAAATGGAACATATGAAGCAAATTAGACCCATTAGTCCATGTAATGTGCTTTATAAAGTTGTCTCTAAAGTCTTTGTTAACCGCCTCAAAGCGTTCATGTTCTTATGTATAAGTGATAATCAAACCACTTTTCTTCCTGGGCGTCAAATTACGGTCAATATTCTTCTCACTCATGAATTATTACACTACTTGAATTAATTCAATAATGGGATAAATAAGGGTGCAACACTTGAGTTAGATATAGAGAAAGCTTATGATGAGATTGAATGGAATTTTCTTTGGGCAGTTATGGTGAAACTTGGATTTGAAAATGACTTTGTGAATACGATCATGCGATGTGTGACATCAATAATGTTTTCAGCTCGTGTTAATGGATCACTTATTAGAGAATTTACATTGTCTTAGGGAATTCAGAAAAGGGACAATTTGTCGCCTTTTCTCTTTCTCTTTGTGATACAAGGATTAACGACCTTATTCCATAAAGCACAAAGGGAGGGCATGATTAAAGGAGTTCGTGCAAGTTGATTTGGCCCATGTGTTTTGCTTATTCTCTTTGCATATGATAGTCTTGTATTCATGAAAAACTCGTTGTATGAAGCTATTGAAATAAAGCGTATATTGAATTTCTATACTAATTCTTTTGGACAATGCGTGAATCTGGAAAAATCTACCATCTATTTTTGTCTGAAAACGATTACTGCTCATCGACAACAACTGACTAATG